GGATGATCAACTAGTAAGTTATACCTTCCGGATATATGCTATATTTATTTGGTTTAAGTAAGTAGCTCACCAACCATCACCCAACTATCAGTTGGTAAATGCTACATTCACTTGCCTACTGCTATGATGCTGGACATTATGTCTCTAGTGTGTCAAGTAGGGACTAGTCCTTGGAAAAGATGATGCTGGAAAAAGTGGAGGCTCAGAGAAAGAGGTGAAGATCCTCAAGTTGGATTGGTACAGTAATGGTGGGATGGCACAGGATAGGGCACAGTTCTGCTCTGTTTTTCACCAGGTTGCTATGAATCACTGTCAACTCCATGGCACCTAACAATAGCAACAACAACAATATTTCCAACATCAGCCTAGTCACTCGTGGAGTTGATGCTTCCAATTTAAGACAAATTTGGAAGAAAGACTTAGCAACCTAGTTCCAAAAATAAGCCAACAAAACTATGGATCACAATTGAACATTGTCCAATATAATGCTGTAAGAGAAATCCTACTGTTGAACCCATTCCTATTCAGGGGGACCCAAATGTTATAGGCTAGGATCACACAGTCAGATAGTTATTCTTGGCTGTAATTGTTACTGAAGCATACCGATAGGCCTTTCCTCCACAATGCAGTTGATTGGTTCAGACCATCATTTTTTTTTCCCATCACCAATTGTTTGCATGACTTTAGATCTTAAAGCAGTCAGCATACACAGTGGGACAAAAGTATACTCGCCAAAAATTATGGGGAAATACCAGACAGCTTTCTGTTTTGTTGAACATGGTATCTCCATGAGTTGGAACCAAGGACAGTTAAGTCACAGGAACAGCTCTTTACTGCAGTGAACCCCCTTCATGAATGTCATTTGACTAAGAGGGGATCCAGATGGCACTTTCCTCGAGAGTATACTGGTCAAATAGGCCAAGTTTAGAAGCTAAAATGAAGTCCATAGTCTACCTTCCATCCTTTAAAATTCCTATCTCCACATTTAACTTCTTCTCTGTTCCTGACCTCTTCTTCCTACACCTTTTGTTCAGTAGATATTGCCTTTCCAATACATCATGCTCTACCAGCCTCACATGACCCACTGGGAACAGTGAGTACACGTAGGCACATTTCTGAAACCACTTCTGGCCTGATAAACAATCAGACCTGTGCATTGGATCACCATCTCTCTTTGTGTAGGTTGTATACGGCATGAGATTTTTTTCTGAAGATATGAGTAGGGGCTGTAATCCATCCCTTATCTCACTGCCAAGTCTTGTGTGCAGATGGTGGAACTATATATGTCTGGAAGACCCTTTTTCTAATCGAAACAGAGTCTTTGGACATGCAGCAGGTCCTTAGAATGTTCCCAGGCCCCACTTACCTACCTTGAACACATTCCTTAAGAAATACACACTTTGCCATGTAACAGTAGGAGACTGCAACTGGATAAATGAATTTATGCTGCTTGATTATTTAGCTCATGGCACTACCCTCGTGCCTTGTTAACAGAATACCTTCACAAACACCAAAGCACCATAAAAGGTCAGAAACTTAGGCCCATGGGTGAAGGTCATTTTTATCTAGTTTGCTGTTATTACGTGCTGTTAAGTTGAAAATTACTCAGAATGTATCTAAAAAGATAGGGGGGAAAAAGAGAAAGTAAAAAAATGACTGTTAAAAGAGACTCTGAAACTTGTTTTTGAACATAGAAATCTAAAATAAAAGGAAGAAATAAGGGAGATAAACAGAAGAGTTTGAGGAGCAGTGCTAGATAACAAAGCAAAGTATCTTAAAACCTATACCAAGACCTATATGTAGAAAATCAAAACAGAAGAACACACTCTTGGAATTTCATAAGTAGAAAAAGTGGAAGAACAAAGTCAAGCTTCAAGTTTTATCACAGAAGGATTCTGTGGGCAAAATCTTGAATGATGCAGGAAGCATCAAAAGAAGATGGAATAAATACCCCAAATCACTGTATCAAAAAGAACTGGCCAACACTGAAACATTTCAGGAAGTAGTTTATGATGAAGAACCAATGGTAACGAAAAAAGAAGTTCAAGCTGCTCTGAAGTCATTGGCAAAAAAATAAGACCTCAGGAATGGATACCAATAGAGGTACTGCAACAAACGGATACAATTCTATTGCCTTTAATTCACTAATCTATGACAAGAAATTTGGAAGACAGCTATCTGGCCAACTGATTGGAAGGAATATATATGTTTGTTCCCATTCCAAAACAAAGTAAATCAACAGAGTGCTGAAATTGCCAAACAATTTTACCCATATCAAACGAAAGTAAAGAAAGTAAAATCTTACTGAAGAGTATTAAACAATGACTAGACCAGTACATGCAGATTGGCCAGAAATGTAAGCTGGAATCAGAAGAGACCATGGAATAAGGGATAATATTGCTAATGTCTGATGGATCTTGGGTGAAAGCGGAGAAGACCAGAGAGATGTTGACTTGCATTTTATGGATGTTGCAAAGGTGCTTGATATTATGAATCAAAATGAATTATAGATAACATTGGGAAGAAAGGGAATTCCGTAACAGTTATTTGTGCTCATGTGAAACCTGTACATAAACCAAGAATAAGGACACTTGCACAGAATAAGGAGATATTGTATGGCTTAATATTAGAAAAGGTGAGCTTCCTTACCTACTCAATCTGTATGCTGAGCAAGTAATTAATGGATAATTTAAAAGTTCATTAGTGTGACCTGGATGTTTGTTAAAACACAGACTCTCTGCTGCTCCAGAGTAAGGCCAAAGTAGAGCCCCTGCATGGCATAAATGGTTACGTACTTAACTATTCAAACAAAAGGCTGGTGGCTGGAATCCTTTCAGAGTTGCCTTGGAGGAAGAGTCTAGTGATTTGTTTCTGAAAGGCCACAGCTGAAAACTCTGTGGAGCAGTTCCACTCAGCAGCCCCAAGAATCAGAAGCAACTAAGTGACAATTTGTTTGATTTAGTTTTTGTTTAGGATGCAAGACATTGCATTTTTAACAGTTTTTCCAGGTTATGCTAGTACTCTGGTCGGAAGGGCATAGGCTGAGAACTACCCGTTAGAAATTTCCTTTTTTTGTTTCAGTTTTTATTATTAATTTAAATGAAAGTTTAGAGAGATTTTAGATTTCCATTTATTCATTGTTAGATATTTTCTTAATTCATCCTATACATAGGTTTTGCAGAGAAATTAAAGACCATTTATAGTGCTAATAATAATAACAACAGCAACCAACAATAATCATACCCTTTTCTAGGTCTCAGCACAGGGGAGCTCCTGGTGGTGTGGTTTGTTATGAGGTCAGTACATGGAATCCACCATTTGTCCCAGAGGAAAAGTCTAGGCAGTTTCCTCCTGTAAAGATTTATAGCTCTGGAAACCTGATCAATGAATATAGTGGCCTCGTGGTAAGAAGCTGTACCGCAATCACAAAGGCAGGCAGTTTGAATCCACCAGCTGCTCTGTGAGAGAAGAATGGGCAATCTCCTCCTGTACAATTTACTGCCTCTGAAAATCTGCTGGAGGGTCAACTATGAGTTGGTTCATACTAGATGGTATACAATAACAGCCTTGGATGATGAAAGACCACAGGAAGGAGAAGCAACATGACCCATTAAGGACAGAAGAGAAACTAACATTTAAATAAAACTTAGAGTTTTAGGTGGATTTTTTAAAAAGAATATTTGTTACTGTATATTGTTGTTGTTAGGTGGTGTCAAGTCAACCATGATGTAAATCAACCCTATGAACAACAGAGCTGAATCTTGCTCTATTCCACAACATCCTGACAATTGTCAGAATTTGAATATATGGAGTGCAAGTACTTAGTTTTAGAGTGGTAAGAGTATCCAAAAGCAATCCTGAATTTAATTCAATGGCAATAAAAGAAGTTAGTCCCAGGGAAAATTTACTATAAAAGAAAAGTGAAGATGAACAAACAAAAACCAGCACCCAGTAAATCATTTAATGCTCTGGCTATCCTTATTTTGATACTCATTTTGCATCAGTGGTGTTCAATGATGGAAACCAAGGCCGATACAAAACTCTAAACACTGTAAAAATCTAAAAGTTACTAAAGCCATAGAAACAATGTTGAGCTTTCACTTTCTTTAAATTATTAGGGTTTGTTATTAAGAAACCAGTAAATAGTGTCCTGTAAACCAGCTGTTTTTGCTTTGCTGCAACAAAATTGCTATTGCCTCAGGGGGCAGCCTAAATTTCAAGAAAAAAGGAAAACATACACCTGAAACTAAAACACTCTGACCTGCCTAGCTGCTTCTCAGTCACGTGACCCGTCGACGATCCTGGGGACTTGCATTTCATTTGAGTCACAGTTGGACACGAGGATGCTGATATGGAAATGGCTATGACTCTGGCTCTTTTTTACCATGCTTTCAAATAAAATATAGTGATTCGTGAACCTGTCACTGTTTGGTGAGCCCCCTACCTCCACACGATAAATGATTGTGACATATGTACAGGGTGACCTGTCAGGTCCCAACTTCAGTTGTGTGTTTTGAGATCTTGTGAATGCCCATGTACCTTGATTTGGGTTAAGAAAATGTGACCAACCTAAAAGAATATGCTAATCCTATGCTGGTTTAATCATCACTTTACAAAGAGGTGTTACTAGATGTTATAGAGTCACAGCAACTCCAGATCAGATCAGAACAACAGATCAGAGCCTTGCCCTGTCCTGGACAGATATCCTCGATGTGCTGGATAAGCTCCAGTCCATAGTTACACTCACTGTTTTGATCCATCTTGTTGGGGGTCTGCTTCTCTTTCTCTGACTCTCCACCTTTCCCAGCAAAGATTTTAATTCTGTTTCAAAGATTTTCTCATAACATAAAAGGCTGACATGTGTATACAAACCAGACAGGACTCAAAATGCCTGAACACCCACCACAGTGGTGGCCATTTCTCCCCAGGCAAGTTTTATTAAGCAGTAGGTTACCCACCGCCTTCCATGAACCACACCCCACAGCTCGCTGTCCCCTTACCTGGGCAGTGGTGCTGGAGAAAGCCTGGGTGGTGCTTCGGACCCACGGTGTCTCTGTGGTCCCAGCTGTCTGTAGGCGGGGGCTCTGCGCCTCACTGCTGCTTAGACTGTAGATTTCTGCAGCACTCTTCATGATGGCCAATGTGACATTCCTAACAAGGTTTTCCATGCTATAAGTAACTGCAGTAGCAGTAGTAAGGATTTGGGGACGATCGGTGTGTCTAGTGCTTCTCACTGAAACTTGTGCTCCCAGGTGAGCTGAAGTAAAGAAACGATAGTTGCTAAAATTACCTTCACATTTTAAGGATTCTTCACATGAACAATTTTACTTATAAAAGAGAAGCCCTCTTTAATACCGGGCAGGTGGATAAGTTTAAGTTGTACGAAAAGAAGAAATATTTTGAGAGTGGTAATGCTCTTTTTGGAAGCAGGAGTGGCATCTACTTCCTAAATAACATGCCTCTGGAAACCCTATGAACTTTGATAAATGTCGATAGTTGTAGAGGGACTTCAGGCCTTTTGTTCCTAGGGTCACTCTGAGTGTGCTTGACTTGAAGACAATCAACAACAACAACAATGCTCATTTGCCCTGTAGAGCTCACAAATACTTTATACAACTATCCATTATGACAGAAGGAGAGTTCTGGAAACGGTGGTGTTGGAAAAAACTTAGGTATGGGTAAAAGAAATAGAAAATTAAGTATACTCTAACAGATATTAGGAGCCTAAGTGGCACAGTAGGTTAAGTGTTGGGCTGCTAACCAAGAGGTCCCCAGCTTGAACTTACCAGCTGCTCCACAGGAAAAAGGTGAGAGAGATCTGCCCCCATAACTATTTACAGCCCTGTAAACCTTATGAACTAACTGAAGTGCAATTCTTCACGTGCAGTCTTGTAAGGATTGGAATCAACTCAATGGCAGTGCTTGGGTCTTGGACGATAGTGACTTAAATTTGCAGCTTCTAATCAGACTGATTTATTGACATGGAATTTATGAAGCTTTTGGGGATTACTAAATTATTTTTGTCAGGGGGGAGTTCCAGGAATCTAAAAAACTTTATGCAGAATTTTGTATATATACACATGTGTACCTTTCTGTGGATAAGTTTGTTTTCTTCACCTTCTCAAAGGGGTATTACAATACCAGGTAAAGAACCACTTTTAGTGCCTTTCCTAGCTTCATCATAAAGACTGAAGATTCTTTTAAAAGTTATTAAGATTTCCTTAATGTCAGTGAAAACTGTTTGTAATCCTGCTTGTTAAGCACCGAATCACAGGACTGTTATACTTCTAAGCTACGTATATTGTTCTTGTTGTTAGGTGCCATCGAGTCACTGATGACTTATAGCGACCCTGTGTACAATAGCTCTGAACCCTGCCCTATCCTGAGCCAGTTTCACTGACTCCAACACACTTACTATGTCTATTACCCCAGTTACTATCTGGCAAAAAAAATAAATAGATTTAAAACTTATGACCTGGTGACATGAATTTATAGCTTTGCTTTTGTATATCTTTAGAGAGAAAGCTTTGTATCCATTTAGAGAAAGATGAGCAGTTTCCTCTCATGCATTTACAGCCTGAGAAACCTTACTATAAAGCAGAACATACTCATGTGCAATGCGTTTGAGTTTTTAAGTCTGTCTGATCTACCTTTCTACTTGCCCACTGTCACTGGGTTGATTCTGGTAGTTGACTCTGTAGGATTTACTCAAATTGCCCCAGAGGATTTCCAAGGCTGCAAATCTTTATGCAAATAAGCTGTTTTATCTTTTTTTCCAAGGAGGAGTAGCTGGTGAATTTGAATCATTAGACTCCCCTCTTTTTATTTTGTTAGCAACCAGAGCTGCTTCTGTGTGTGTATATGTGTGTACTTGTGGAGCTCTGGTGGCCGAGTTTGCAAGGAATTGCACTATGAAGCCATGTCTCTGTGGTTGTTTTGAACTCACTGGTGGCTCTATAGGCAATCTTCTCCTGTGCAATTTACAGCCTCAGGAACCCTCTGGAAGGTCAGCTATGAGTTGGTTCCAATTAAAATGAAATGAGAGGAGGAGGAGTCTTAAAATTGAAATTGTCTCTTGGGTATCTTGCTAAAATTATTTCATTATGACCAGTTAGTACAATGTTTATTACAAGCTTTCAGGTAATGCTGATGCTATAAATCTTGGACTATACTTTAAATGGCAAGACTCTAGAGAACAGCTGTATAATGTTAAGCATGGGGGTAAGACTGAGAAAAACTGGATGAAATATGTTTACGGCATTGAAGTCTATGGGGGAGAGA